TTCAAGCACAGCTTAAATACTTATCTTCAACTAATAGTCCTTCTTCTTATACTAGACTTAGAGCCCAGTGACAGCTATACACAGAATCAGCAGTAGCTGGTTTAAGAACCTGGTATAATAAAATTCTTACCCTTACAACTCTTTACTAAAGTTATATTGGAGCAGGCTATCTCTCTTATTTTAAGATAAGCTCATAATAACATTACCAAGACAAATATCATGTTTTATGGGCATCCTACCACCAATCCCAACCATGAGCCTAAATCGGATGTTTAAAAAGCTGTAGACTATATTTCTAGCTATTCCAGTAACTAATAATATCCTGTATTCTCCATCTGGCAGAACAGCAATAATAATCTAATAATCAGTAATTTCCCCCAGCATGTAGTAATTATTATTGTTTAGCAAAAGTATCTCCGGGCAAGGATATTTTTTCTTGAGAAAGACTCAGGCTGTGATATATTCTGTCTCCAAGACACATATCCAACCAACAGTGTACTGATCTGGATCTGACATTATAGAGCAGCAGGCGACAGAGAGACTCTAGAAGGTAAACTCATGCAAACTTGTAAAAAACAAGTCTAATTTTAGATGCATTTAAGAGTACTAGATGTGAAGAAGATATGAAAATGAAGAGGTGATAAGAGCACTTTGGCTGGAAAGAGGGGTTACTGGGCGCAATGCATATTATTAGCTTGAAGTACTGTAATCCATATGCGAGCCCGCCACCGAACCCGTGCACAGTATTGATTTCAAATACTTTGCCGTGTCAATATGCCACTCATTCGCAAGAAAGGTACATTAGAACCTGTATTGATAGATCAGTGACAGTTGTCTTTTCGGCTGAGCCGCCTGGCATTAGTGAATTATATATGTGTATATCTGTTTCATCGAATTGTCGAGTAAGTTTATGACACCGAGGCACTGTTACCACAACAGAAGTGTCGTCCAATAAAATCTTTTTGTATATATATTTGAGGCATAGTCCTCTCTCAATTGTTCGGAGAAGCAGCCTCCAATAAAACCCAGAGGCAAGAACCAGAATTTGTACAGTATCTTTAACCGCAGTCTTTGTGTTAAAAGTAACCTTCCATTCAATCCAATAATAAATACAGGTAGGCGGGTCCTCATCATACACCTTCCATTCAACCCAGTCTCCGTACTGGAGGAGCGGAAGTTTATCTGTGCGGGGGCGCTTGCTTGAGGGGCGGGGTAGTCAATGAAGAATGGAGTATTAGCATTGATAAGGCTAAGATCTGAAGGCGAGGAGGCGGTAGGACTGAAGTTTCCGGGGGTGGCTGCATACCATAGCGACTCATCGCATCGCCACGATTGATTTTGGTAGGTGTCATTATCATTTCTAGGACTTAACAAGTTCAAGCTCATCTCTTTCAGTGATCAAGATTCCTGTGGTTGGTAATATCTGGTCAAACTCGCATACAACGCTGCCTCAGCAGTTGTTGTTCGCCGGCGAACAACAGTTAGCAAACAACAGCTGCAGGCGAAGAGGATTGTGCATGGAACGACCGTCTTATTCTGTCACATCAAACAATAGAAAATTTACTGTGCGTTTATCGACTGCATGAGTTACAACAAGGCAGAGATACATGGTTGCCAGAGAGGGGAAGTTGATGCCACATGGCCCGTCTGCGAGGGACAGACGTTCCTAGCTCCCTGAGATCTACGGTGCCGGGGCGGGAGGTTTCATGTTCTTCCGTGGGTACCTCCCGTGCTCAAATCTCATCGTGGTGGGATTGCATAGATTAATAAGCCATTAGCATAAAGGCATAAGTCAATGCCGTTATGTATGCATATCATGTATTGTACCATAAAACTTCCGACGACCCTCATTTGCAAGCAGGTGGCTCTCTATAACTTCCCTACTAAAGTCTTGGCAGTGGGACCAGGAAACAATTATCTTGTGTTTGAAGGTCAGAGGAATTTCGAGACCGACTGTAACAACACTATGTGGTGTGGCGTCACGAGGAAGTTGCTTCGTATGCCGACGGCCATAAATATATCATGGTGTTAGAGCCTTCTAACATAAGGTCTATATATAATCTTGAAGTTATACAGGCAAATTTAACTGCTAAAGACTGTAGTCCTTCGGTGTATTCTTACTCAGGAAACATGTCTCTGAGTTATCTATCCATGTCCAGCTTCTTTAAATATTTTTTTATATTACAAGGTGGTTATAGCTCTGTATTAAAGATATTATTATTAATTATTTAACAAGTTAAACAGAAGCCCCTGACAGAAAGTAAAGAGTATTAAAGAATAATTTTTAATATATCTTTTCTTAAGGCTGAGAATGAGTGGCTTTGCTGATTATGAAAGTCAGTAGCAGCACTTTATAAGAGTATGGTTATACTATTAACAGAACTGCTTAATCTTAATATAAATAATATCCAGGAAGCCCTCACATGTTTTTATATTGGTTTTATGACTGTAGAATAATTAATTCACTGCTCTAGATACTCTGCAGTAGCTGATATTATAATTATATTATAAGAGCTGATCCCTGTCTTTGAATAATATTAAAGAGGATTAAACAGCTTATATACTATTATAGTAAATCTTAAGAAGGAAAGAAAGATATTTTCTGTACAGATCCAGAAATCAAATCACAGCTATACTGATTTCTTTGGTATTAATTATAATTAAAGTATTATGCTGGCAGCTGGACTACAGATAAGAAGGACTAGATAATAATCATAGTTACAGAAGTTAATGTATAATAAAGGCTTCAGTGATAAGTAATACTAGGAACTAGTATTCTAGGCTTTATATTCTGAGATATAATAAATGTTATATTATATTGTATGTATAATTTCATCTTCTTACTTTTATTATATTTATAATCTGCAATTTATTAGCCTATACAGGGCTACTATTTACTGATTTAGCAGTTAATTTTAAAGCCAGACTTATAATACTAAAGCTTGGCTAATGACAAATAACAAGTGCCTTTAGATATATATATATTATTCAGAGTGAGTTTAATAGCTGAATGGGAGATCTTAATAAATGTTATTAAAAAATTACTAAGAGAAATGGGGAAATAGGATTCTAGTTGATAACCATGTTTTAATACTGTGTTATAATTACTGTTCCTTATTTAATTTTTATAGAAACTTGTACTAATAAAAGTTAGTATTTTTTTTTTTATTAATTTATGACTTTACCTGAAGAAGAGCAGATGCAGGCTGCTTGTTATATAGAACTTGAAGAAAGTCTCTTAATCTAGTATTATCAGATTTATGATTCTTAATAAGCCTTCCTACTATGGACTTAAAAGCTTTAATATCTTTAATATATCTCTGGTCAGACTAGAGTAAGCAGTCTCTGATATTTACTTTAAATATATTAGTTTATTATATACTGATATTCAGAGAATATTTTCCTATTAATTTTGATTATCTCTGTCTAGTGTAGACAAATAGTGTCCAAGGATAGATTATTATATAATATACCTAGAGATCTATATATATATTTCAGAGTATATAATATACTGTAACAGACTGCTGTGGTATTAGTAAAATCTTAATAAGACTGAAAGTCTAGAATATCTTTTAATAAAATAACACTCATCTCATAGATTATAAATATAGACTTTTCTTTGATATAGATATACTGCAGATGTAAAAGATTACAGTAAAGTACTGATCTTAATTAAAAGATTCTCTCTGATAAGGAGTATGTTTTCTTGATAAGAATAGAGAAAAAAGAATAATTCTTTATTATTATATAATAATATCTGTTCTTAATTAGTGTTACTGAAATATAATAATTCTAAATATTGACTCCATGTTGCTTGAATGAAATATTCTCAGGATATATAGAATTAGATAAGAGGATGGAAAGATTATTAGATAATTTCTTTAATTAAGACTTAGTAGTTTTGCTAGTCTTTCTGTGCTTGTTTATTATATTCAGTCTGTAGCTTATATATTTTATAATAGAGGGAGAAAAATGAATGTAGTATAGTTACTATTATACTGGTTAATATCAAGGATATAGTTATATAGATATAACTTGGCCTTATAATTAACCATAAGGTTACTCTGTAGTAGGAGTTATATAAATAATATAGATACTGAAAGTACCTGTGGGTATATCCAGCTGAGTATTTGTTTTGACGCCTAGATTATTCTATACTCAAACTGACTAGGGTCTTCAGTAAAAGTGTTAAGAAAGTATTCTTGTAGGTATATCCCGTGGGTATATCTAGCTGGGTACTCTAGAAAAGATATTCTTACTATAATTTAGGTACTGCTATATTTGATATCAGATTCTTCTTGGTTAATTCAAAACAATTTCTCTAACCCTATCCAAAGAAGTGCTAGTATGTATTTGGATTAGCTGTAGATTATTACTTGTAAATAATACAATTACTGTTTATAATTATATGAAATGTGGTGCCTATCCTAGCTATCTTTATACCCGGGGATAAAAATACTATAAATGAATAGAGACTATATTTGTGGATAAGCCATGATCTGCAGTTAAACTGAATATGGACTAGCATATCTTCGGATAGGGTTAGAAAAATTACTCTCTGAGTAAATGAAGGAGAATCTCATTTTGAATATGGCAGTATGAAAAGCAAGCTTTAATTACATGTTTGGTTGCATTTTTGGAACAAATTTACTCCATCTCGGCATGGTTAGTACAGGGTTTCCGGAAACTAGTGTCACCAGTCATACTCTTTTGATTGTTTGTGTAACTCTTGCTAAAATGCGCTAATCCACTTCGAGAAAATTATTCGAATTATCATTATCCCGGGCTAGTAACGTAAAAACATTGCGGTATCATAACAGTTCTTGTCTACAATTCCCTAGTCGAGTCCACGGATAGTCCACGGATAGGCCAACAAGAACCTTGGAAGTCAATCACCGGTCGTGGTATAATTAAAAAACAGCTCCTAACTTAACATGGCCGACGCAGCCGCGCCAAAACTAAGCCACTTCGAGACATTCTTCCAGAATGGATAGTTATATCACAGCCTGACAAGGATATAAGCAGTAGGACATCTTTTCAAGTTCTATCTGTATAACCAGAAAACAACAGCAACAACATCAATCGACGGCTTTACCGGATTATCGTTGCCTAAATTATCTTATTTTCACTGTTGCTTCACATGTGCAAATGGCTTTTGATGACTATTTATTATCGAGTAAAATAACCACTAAGCTAATGTTGGATTCTCCATTTAGGTCTAGCGTCACACATAACACTCAGAGCTCTTAGATAGCTTCGTCTCGGAGTTTCTTCTAAGAATCAAGCATGTCGATGATGTCTCCTTTCTCTCTAGGTCTCTAACAGCTAAAAAGGTGTCTAGACTACCAACTTTAACTTAATACAGTATGTTTCTAGGTCGACATTTATAAACTATAGGCCTGTCCCTGCGTGCCGCTTAGCGCAGGCAGCGTTATGATTAATAGTTGCATCGGGAGCTTTCAGCCAGTCACAGCGACGTGAAATAATCTCCTAACTCTTCCCTTTTTCAACTCTTCTCAGTAATCTCCATTTGCGCCAGTAGCGGCGACTGCGTTGCACCGATTCAGAGGTAAACGAACCTGCAAGATCCAGATACTGCAGTCGTTCATTAGCTGTCGTAGCTTTATCTGCATCCGAATGTTTCCCTCTAAAATTTGTGAGGATGTTGAGAAGAACAATAATAAAACCAGTAACTCCAATGACGAATGGTATCAATTGACCTGTAGTCTTGATCGAGTATACCCCTCGGATCGAATTCCAGTAAAGGGTTAACTCTATCCCCAAAATTGAATATATCAGGGTACTAGCGCTCAAAATGGCGGCGATCATTGACGAGGTAGGCTCGATATGATTAGTCGTCTTTGGAGTGAAATCGTGTAGAGAAAGGAATGCAGATCCTCCAATACCCTTTGGTTCTAGCTTCCTGATTATCTTTAATATCCGATGAACATAACGTAGGTAAAGTGGCCCGACAGTGTATGATAGTGCCAGTAAAACTGACAAAAATGCGAAGAACCTTCTTACGGACGGGTCAAATAATGACACCTTGGCGAAAAGAAACCCGTGCGTGCCGCACGGCGTTTCGTGAAAGTTGTTGAATATCCCACGGAGCCAAAACCAGCCGCAGTAGATGCTCCCAGCTGCAATGGCTCCCATAACGGTAATCGCCCTCAGTTTTTGCTCCTTCCGTCCGACAAGAAAGTCCATTAGGATATTGGGCCTCCCAAATCCACTGATTAACACCGTGTATGCGCCACCAAAGATAATGTATGTGAGGACGAAAATTTCGACAGCAAATGTAGGCTCTGACTGGACAGTTATAACGATAACTGCAATTGTAAGAGCGATAGTAAACACGGCGTAGTTCTGCATTATTTCATCACGACCATCTAGGTCCAGGCCATAGATCAGAGAAGACGAGATCCATTGGAGATAAATACCGAGGCGGATACCAAGACCATAGAGGTCAGGATTCCCATCGAAACCGCAGGTGTCACGCTTCCGTGGACTTTCATTAATGACTGGCAAAGGAACGGCTTCGCTCAGTACGGCATTTCCAGATAAGAACCAAACCCAAATGCCTGGGTTTGCTAGTGCGCGTCCCATGTTAATAGAAAACTGATGGATGCCCCAGGGCAAGTTGGTAACTGACAGTTGGGTGGAGGAATCCCACTTAAATGCAAGTAACTAACGCAATGCTGGCTGGGGTAGCGATGCTCGGATGTTCCATGTATCCGTAATCCCCATGATTGGTTGAGTCCATGCAAGATTTATTAAACACCGATGACTCCACTCCGACTCCCGGCGATTGTGTGACGTGTCCGGTGCTTCATATTTGAGTTTTGTTGGTTATGGCCACGGACATATCGACTATACACGAATATGGAGGTCTGATACTTCTATCTATCCAAAATAGGAATTAACGTAATCCACGGTTAAGCGGCCCACACGGTGAGGCGGCCCACCCCCCTGCCCGAACTGCTCAATATCATCAAAATGAAGCATTTGATTCAACACAGACGCTTATAATATTGTTATCTAACTAATTACTAGATGGTTTAGAACACTGCGTACGTCGGTAACCATGATGATTGTGATTTATTGATTACGTCAGCAGAACACCGTCCCAGCCGCCCCGAAGGCAGCTATGCGGCTTGTCTCCTAGTGACTGCCAGCTTCAGTCTAAGTACATAAATCCACAACAAAGTAGGGTCAAACTAGATTAAAGATAGACAGAATAACCCCAAAAAAATCTAGTAAGCTGGTGCATCGTGGACTCCATGCATTGCTGCTATGGTGCCTGATTGTGTCCTGGAATGCAATTGGGGGACGGGTTCCAGCTGGCTACCACCAGGAGGCCTAGTTGTAGCAACGGTTCAGGGTCTCTATAGGTCCTGGATGAGTAGATCATGTTGTCCCAGAAGCAGGCTGGTCTCGTATCTTTTGTGTCTGGCGGATGTAGGCTCCGGTTAAGTCCACCTAGTTAGGCATTCTCGGTCCGGCTCCTTCCATCCAATATACTGAATATGATCGAGTGGACGCTGACTAATAATAAAATCCGCGTGACATTTTGGAGCCTGAGGTATCTAGCCAAGATACCCAACCAAGATTCCTAGCGCCGCACAAAATATGTGTATTCTCACTTGTAAGTACAATACGGGATATATTCCGGAAAATTATTGCTCCTCGCTATTCTAAATGTAATTTAGTCAGATTCCCCACTGGGTTGCGGAAAGAATGAAAGAGTATGCGGTAGGGACACCAGTTTCCGGCCACCCTGTATAAACACGGACCAAAGATGTTCCATCCCGACAACTAAATTGGTCAAGCGCAGTATCATGTCAGAGTTGCTGAAATAATCAAAGAGTGAAGCGGTGACACCTCTATCCGGACATAGTGTAAGATGTGTTGGGCACGTGGATTATGGGCTAGAGGCAGGTGGAGCTTAGTCATTGATACTTGATTTGATTACGGTATGTATAGTAATTTACCGTACAGTTGCGGGTTAAAGATCTTCCTGCTTGATATCTAAACATAGTCTAGTGCAGTTTCATGTCAGGGTTGCTGAACCAATCAAAAAGAGTAAGTGGTGACACCGGTCACCCTGTATAGGCGCGCGACTGACCGATGGACTCTTAGGCTTGTAAGATGGCTACTTTTAGCATTGTATAGTGCTCAGTACGGAGTATAGTAGTCAACATCATTCTGGTCCTAGATGCCTTGACGCTGTATACGCGGTAGTAGAAACAGTGTACGGCTCTTATTATTATACAGTACTGTCTTTACCAAGACACTAATCTATACAGGGACTCACTGTTCTGACTATCTCAGAGCTGTAATAAAAGAGATATCCAGGTTGTCTAATTTTACAACCAGGTGTACCGTTGGTGGCTAAAGCAGTTTCACCCCTAAGGATTCCTTTGTCTCCCAATCCCTATACCAAGCCATTGTTAGTATTAAACAGAAATATACCCGAATCAATGATATTCCCTATTGCTACGAATAGCGCAATGTTGTATTAAACCACAACTGAATCATAGTAGTGTCACTCTACTTGAAAACAAGCAGGGTATTTCACAGAGAATATAGTTCTTCCGTGCATCTTATTTAGGGAAGGGTCTGGGAATAATTGAAAAGTATAGGCGGTAAAGCCTTACTGCAGGATTATATCGAGATACTGTATACAGTCTGTAGAATATGCCACGAGGTTATATACAATATCTATAATAAGTGACTGATTTCTTCTGGTTTCACTTTATATCATGTATATTTGATGCAGAAAGAAACAGTCATAATAGCAGGAGCAGGTCTGCTATACAAGATTTCATGAGACTGATATTATACATTAATCTTTATGCTTTATATAATAGTAAATAAACTCCTGGATATCTAGATTCATTATTAATTATCAAGACTGCATGAGTTAAAGCTCTAAATCTGTTATCCTTATATTACTGCTGTGTCTTTAATCATCTGGAAAGAAACTAAATATTAAATAAGATTATCTTATCTAAAGATAGTCAGGTATTGTCATTAGTTTTACCTGCTGCAGTTAGTAAAACTTGAAAATGAAAGCTTAGCCATCTACTAATACCACAACTATTGCTGACTTCTCGAAGAAAAGGAGTGAAAAAAAAAAAAAAAAAAAACTCAATATATTCAGCCCATGGGTAGTTCCCCTCGCTTTTCGCTAATTAAGATAAAGGAAGTGATGTAATGCCAAGAGAGTACCCGTGGGTATACCTGTGGATACTATGCCAAGAAAGTACCCACGGGTAATTCCCCTCGCTTTTCGCCAATTGAGATAAAGGAAATGATGTAGAATACTAAGAAAGTACCTACGGGTATATCCACAGGGTATACCCATGGAGGTATATCCACAGGTACTTTCTTGGTGCTTTTATTAAAGATCCTAGTCAGTTCAAGTATGGAATAATCTAGATACCAAGGCAAGTATCTAGCTGGATATACCCACAGGATATACCTAGCTGGATACTCAAGTAAAATATCATTTATATATTATCTAATTCTATTCTATTTATGAACTAAAGTAAATATAATAATATTATACTTCTTGACTAATCCTAACTTAATATGTAGGATTATGTATACATTATCTATTTAATAATTCCTGCTTAATATGGCAGAAGAACTACTTATAGATAATCTTAGTTTTATTATCTATTTTATAAATCTACTATATTATACATGTATACAGTAAGCTATAAAATCAGTTTATCTAGTAAGATACTTCTCATTTAGTTTAAAGAGTTCTTGGCGTGAATATTAAGCTAATTATAATAAGTATATACTTTATTAAACTAATTATTACAAGAAATATTGTTTAGTAAGCTAGTAATTAAGAATTTTTTAAATAATAAAATAGTATCTAAGAGACAGGCTTATTTTATAGATTACTGTACCAGGATTTGAGCTTACTACTTAGAAGTAAAGTAGATTAAAATAAATCTTTATAATATATTTAGATAAGTTCTCTTTACTAGACACCATGGAAGATAAGCTACAGATTATATAGATTATAGTTTTCTTTACTATGACCTACAAAAGTATAAGTAAATAAGATACTATAAACTAAGTATATACTGTATTGATCAAGTATATATTAAAATATTTATAAATATAGCAACTTCCATATCCTATATATTATTATTATAGTAAGACTTATAAAACATACTAAGATTATATATAAAATCCTGTATCTATTTTATATCTGTCTCTTACTATTCTTATTTTTATATTTAATTATATTATAAATAGCTAGCTGTGTTATAATCTTAAGTTATTCTTATTTTAATATTTTAAGAAAAGACTGAAGATAGTATTATAATATTATAATTCAGTTTAATTTAAGATATTCCTTATAATATGCCAAATGCTATTAGTATAGTATAATATATAAGTAGAAAAAGCTTTACAGCTGATATTCTTAGATATTAATCTTAGTATCTTATATATTTCTATTACTGTTGCTCAGGATAGGAAAATTCATGTTATTTTGGATATATAGAATTACTAGAGAATCCTATTATTATACTTACTTTGTACCTTTATTACTTCCAGTATTAGTTTTATAAATTAGAATTAGATATATAATTTTCTTTATTATTATAAGAAAGATCTTAGGGTTATCCTTACTGCGGCTAAAGCCTTAGCCGAGTTCTATATTAATATAATTATTAAAAATGCTGTTATTACTGTATTATTATCTTATTATAATATAGAATATACTGAAACCAGAGATGCTGGGTATTAAGTTAGACTTAAGATTTATTAATTATTAAATACTCTAACAGCTGCTGTTATAGTGCAGTAGACTGACTTATTAATATTTAATATTTATTTTATATTAGTCTTAAATATTAGGACCCGAAGGGCTGAAGCTACTGTTTTAGATATTTAGAATAATCTTTTTAAAATTAAGTTAAGTTACAGTGACTGCTGACTAGGCAGATAAATATATAATATTAAATTATATTATTATCTTGAATATTATATGAGAGATAAAATTCAAGATAAAGATCTGTAATTACTTCTTAGCAGGTCTGAGAATATTAAAAGATTCTTATTAATCTATAAATTAATATTTAATATAAGCGGTCTTGTTATTATACAGAAGGAGTATAAGAATATCTGTAAGAATAATATTATAGGAATAGTTATTTTAATAAAAAGGATTATCTATAATACTGAGATTAAAAAGTTTATTATCTGGGAGATGGTTCTTATTAATAATTCTACTAGTATACTAATATTATAAAAGATTCTAGCAGATTTTTTTGGATATTTAAAAACAGATTTATACTGTCTGTAAATAGTAGCTGCCCGCAGAGCAGTATTATAAGTAATATTATTAATAGATTAATTACTGTTCTCTGAACTGCTTATCCTAGATATAGTTTTTAGTTTGATATATATTAAGCTCCTGTCTGGACTTTTACTGTAACTCTGGTCCTGAAATATTATACTGACTTGTGAATTAATGATTATTATTAAGATTTTATTAATAATATATCTTTTCCAGTCTTTTAAATTTATAGAAGAGGATATTGGTTTAGTCAGGATTTTTAGAATTTTTGATCTTTATTATCTCTGGCTTTCTTCTAACTGCTAGGTTA